GCGAATGTCTTATGACCGGGACGTGCACAGAGTAGAGTAGAAAAACACCTCTTCCAAGAACGAAACAACACTGCTTTCCGTCTGTGTACAACTACAGCAGCGGTATTTAGTGATAATGCTGCTCGTGCAGGAATAAGCAGGAAGTACCACGGTGTGTCCACGCGATGAGTTCATTGCTTTTTCATCCCCGGGACTGTTACAAGTACATGATTGGTAGTAGAGATTCAATCCTTGTGTGTGTTTAGCAAGAAACGAATGAACGGTCTGAAACAAAAATGATATTTTATTGCCTCTCCGTACATTTTTTTGGGATGACAGCGCTGACTGAAACCCCAACTTTGCGATTTGGGAACAAATGAGGAAAAAATGAGGGGAAAAAACTTAGACTATTACAATCTGAGACACGTTGTGTAACACAGACAGACGAGGCACGTGATGGCAACAAGCTACATGTCTAGAAGCAAGAGGCTTCGAACACAATCAGAGACTGCTGTGCTACGTAGCTGCCTGTGGGTCAGATCCCACGTGAATATATATCCACATATCCACATCTTTCACTCGATCCGATTTATACAACCCTTCAATCGTTTTGTTTAGTCGACACAGTCGACAACACACCGCTGCTAGCTGCGGTATCGGGTGCGGCGTGTTTTTGGGGTCCCTTCGCCGGCTAACTTTTTTCTGCTCGGGAAATCGTGGAAATACAGGTAGCCTTCCTCTGACGCTATGGATTCATTGCTAATCTATCCAAGATATGTAGAGATGGATTCGTTGTATAAAAAACTGTTCGTGCCAACGAAGCGCTTCCGAGCTTCGAGCTTCCGAGACCGCGTTTGTTCCATGTTACTTTCACACACTGGCCCACCGTCTGTAAAACCATTTATGGCGTATACACATGCTATGTTTTTGGCTGCATCCCGTCTCTTGCTTACACCCCGCGTCCGGTTAGCAGCGTACAGTTTGGTCCTGGAAAAGCGTACATATCACGCCACGCGCGTACGTACGTGTTCTTGAGCTCGGCGAGTTTTGTGCCGCCTCACAGGTTGAATAGCACCTGTGGTCCGGAGAAGTTTTTTAACGACCAGTCGCAGAGAGAGCCAATCAGCAGCGCCCAAAGAGGACCCAAAAACGTGTCAGGTCCCCTGCCTGTAAGTACCTGCCTGGCAGGGGGGTGCGCATCTCAACCAACGAGCAACACACGTACTTTTGGCTTTGCCAAGTTCAAGGAGACACGTGTGCATGGCAGCACCGGCAACAGGCGAAGGACGCAAAGACCAGATGGACGCACCCGCGAAGCGAACAGAGCAGCCGCCCTCGTCTTCGCCGAATGTCGGTAGGGTGGCATCATCATCAGACTCGAATTTGGCGTTCCCCAGCTACGCGCCAGGTGAGGACGAGACCGCCCTCTGGTTGGGGGAGGGCGGCGGGGGCGTGGGCGGCGACGGGGGAGGCTTGATGGCGCCCCTCGAGCCTGGCGGGGCCCTCATGAGCGCGGGTGGGGGTTGGAGCTTCTCCACGCTACCGGGGGACGAGGGCCTGCGGTGGAGCGGCGTGAAAACGGAGCAGGTTTTTGACGAGTGGGCGGCTTCCGGGAGAGGAAAACATCAGGCCGCCATGATGCAGCCTTCGCTGCTTCTGACATCGACAGCAGCAGGGGGAGACAACGGCAGCACCAAGGGTGGTGGAAGCCTGGCCAAGTCGGACACGGAGGAGGGCTGGAAGACTTTCGTCGGCCCCGCTCCCACCCCTCCTTGTTCCAACGCAACGAAGCCCCACGGCGGCGAAACGGACACCTCCTGTAATTTTCCACCGTCATCACGCCATCAGCAGCTGGCAACAGTTGCAACAAAAGGTGTGTGTCTGTTGTACAGCAGTAGCACCCTTTGCTTGTGTCGCCCGCCTTGGAGTGGAGCACTGCCTGGGAGAGGTTCTTTCATTCTCACTTCGGCGAATCAGGGCTGCCTCTAGCTGCAACCCGAGTGCGGATCCCTATTCCCGCTCGATCCTGTTCAAGATGCAAATCTGCTGACGTTCTCAAAATTTCTCGACTTTTCAGAAAATTGTTTCAGTGCAAAGGAGGGTACATGTGGTACAACAATAGAAGCGTGTCGCATGTGTCTTGTCACAGCAAAGCAGCAAGCAGTTCGCGTGCCTACGTATGCGTTGGTGTGTTTCTTGGTATTTGCTTTACAGCAGTGCTGCTGTTGCAGTACAAGAAATCAAAAGAAATTACGCTTAAGGTAGCGAGAGGTCGTTGGTGCTACGGACGGTGCTCTTCCAGCTGTGGGGGTGGTGCTCATCCCATCAACACTACAATATCCATGCTGCTGCTACGCTGCTGCTGTTGCGCTGCGCTGCCGCTGCTGTGTAGCATGTATGCATAATTTCCCTGGAAACGAATTTCCTTCTCTCGTCTGGTACTGCTGTACCACAACATTTGCTTGCGTACGTGTGACAGCAACCGATTCGCTTTTAGGCCCTTGGCCGGGGCGTTGAGCCGCATGTTTCAAGAGAAATTAAGGAATAATAAAAACACACAATCCTTTCTCGCAGCCTCTAGCACATGTAACCTCTATCATCGACCGGGCGGTTTTGACATGATCAGCTTCGTGTAGTTATTGCCGCGGCGGGGGAAGGAAGCCAGAAGAAGACATAGTTCTATTTTCGGGCAGAAAGGAGTCAAATACCACCCACAACGCTGCCGTTACACATTAAGTCTATCTTGCATACGCGTCTCCTGTCTGCTTGTTGATGATGATCTGTTGCCGTGGGCTGCTGAGACCAAGCGGGAACTCAAAATCGATGCAGTGATCGGGTCTTCCCGTACATTTCGCCATCATCATTGCTGCAGTCAGTGTGTTCGGTTTCCGGCCGCCGTGATGTCAGAGATTAACGGTTGGTGGTGAAACTGCTCTTGTAATGTACGTTTTGTTGATGCGATGTGTATGCTTACGGTGTTTTCTTCTCTTTCAGCAGCAGTGCATACATTTTTTTATTATTCCTTAATGCATTTTCTACAATTCCAGCGTAAGATCGCGATGAATACACAGCTGTGTGGTTCTGCTCGCGAATTTAGCCTTGGTTTTATTTCTTGGTCCCCCACTACGTCATCATGCCACCCCGAGCGTACATTTAGTCTTGTCTTGGTGTCCGACTGAGCCGCTCTGGAGACTGCACCGTATCTGCTATTATAGCATTGCTACTGCCAATACCCCCTAGGCTTTACAGCGGGTCGATCGCCCCTTCGCCTGACGGGAGCACAGCCGCAGTGTGAACTCTGCTGTTGCCACGTGGTCGATCGCCGCTGCTCCTCCTTTTCCCCGCTGAAACGATTTCGCAAGTGCCGGTGCTGTACGGTTCAGTCCCGCTCCGCAAACCCCAAAACTCCTCCGGTTACTATTGCACAAATATTGCACAGTTTATTATCGCCCAAAGCACCGAAGCCCAAGGGATTTGTTTGGGATTTTGTCATTCGCTGAGCTGAAATACCTCCCGAAAACATAGAACAGGACCAGGTTGGTGGTGCCGATTTTGTTTTCTTTAGGAACAGCAGTTGCCTAGTGGCGCGACGCCCCCTGAGATGCGCTGTGGAGCTTCATGCGGCCTCGTGGGTGCGCTCCAGAGAGAGCGCAATCACGAGGCGGAAGGATGAGAGTAGGATGCAGAGGGTGACGAAAGAAGTCTGTTGGCTCACCACATGTGTTGCTCGTCGGGACAGCACCTGACAACACCTTGTTGCAGACTATCAACAGTTCCAAACGGCCCGTCACCCCACCCACCCCGCCTTACTCTCCGCCGATTTCAACGAACCGTTTAGAGAAATCCGCTCTCTTGCACTCCTTTGAGCTGGCCATGGCGGAGTTGAGTTGGCGATAGGCCTTGAGCTGGGAGCTGAGTGCCTCTGACGTGTGATGTGTCGTTTATTGGGCCTCTGTTTCGAGCGGTCATGTTTTTGTTGTGGGAGGAAAAATGGACCTCCCGGAAAGACAAGCTCGCGCGTTACAGCAGTATACGCAGCACACGCACACTTTTTCAGTATCAGGCTACCGCCAGCAACCAAACATGGAAGTGATTAGCTCAGAGATGTGCAGGGGGCGTCTGTCTCCAAGAGTGTTCGCGGCGATCTTCGTTTACAGCAGCGTGAATTGATGAAGTACAGGTGCTTGATCCGACAGCAAGGCTGCTACATTCCGTCGTTTTATCTCATCCCTGTCCTCCTCTCTGCCCCGTCATTATCCTACGCTCCAGGCGTGGCCGAGATCCGACCCACCGCCAACCACTGCGCTAGCTCGTCCACCAAGGACAACATTGAGGCGTTTGCCAAGCCGGGTTCTTCTCCCGCCACCGCGCGGGCCCCCGCCGCCGAATTAGCGACCACTGCGCCGCCGACACCGCCACATTCGCGGGCCGCAAGCAAAGCGTCAGCACCACCACGGCCACCGCGCGCCGCGACTACGAAACGGGCGGAAGCGGCACCAGCACAGCAGGACGCATCATCCCCCACCTCCGCGACGGCGGTGACAAGACGCACACGCAAGGCCACCGCCGCCGCCGCCACCGCCGCCGCCGCCACCGCCGCCGCCGCCACCGCTGCCGCTGGGGCTGCCGGCGACAGCTTGGTCGAGGCCGAACAACCGGCCAACGAATACGAGGACGATAAGGACGAGGACGACAATGACGACGACGACGACGACGACGACGACGACGACAATGACGACGACAACAACAACAACAACAACGATAAAGATGGCGCCGGCAGCAGAAGTAGCAGCCGCGCAGCCGCCGCCAAACCCAAGCGCGCGACGACGAGGGACAAGAGCTACGACGAGGACGACCTCGACGCGGACGACGACGACGACCCGGCCGGGACCGAGCTCACCGACAAGCGGCGGCGCAACCGCGAGCACGCCAAGCGCAGCCGCCTCCGGAAACGGGTCCGCCTCGGGGGCCTGGAGGAGCTGGTGCTGGGCCTACGCAGGGAGAACGTCCGCCTTCGGAAGATGATCATGCGCGGCATCCCGGACCGCGCCGGCGCCATCATCCGCAACTGCGCCAAGGACAACACCAACGCCGACGTCGTCGCCAAGCAGGACGTGATCCAGGGCATGCGGCCCGGCATGTCGGTGGGGTCCTCCTCCTCGAGTTGGACCGCTCGCGGCGGGACGCGAACGCGGCCGAAGCCCGCCGGGGGCGGCGGGGGCGGCGGCGGCAGCGGAAAGGGCCGTTATGTGCCGTCGGCCCTCAAGCTCATGTCGCCCTGCTACCAGACCGTGAAGGCCCTGGCGGACAGCCAGGCGAACTTCGTCCTCACCAACCCAAACCTCCCGGACTGCCCGATCATCTTCGCGAGCCAGGGCTTCCTCGACCTGACGGGGTACGACGGCAACGACGTGATCGGCAAGAACTGCCGCTTCCTCCAGGGCCGCGGGACCGACCCGGTGACGCTGTCCATCATCCGGAACAACGTCGCCGCCGGCCTGGACACGAGCGTCTGCATCCTCAACTACAAGAAGGACAAGACGCCGTTCTGGTGAGTCGTGTAGCACGTTTTATCTTTCTCACACCACCGCCCCGCTGCCGCAAGAAATTCGACACACGTGCGTGTCTGCGCCGGCCGAACACCTTATTTGTTTTGCCAACGTGTTTTAATTGAACCGTGTGTTTCGGGGAGTTGTGTGGTCTCTGGTTGACACCGTTGTTGACCGCTGTTCCTGTGCGTTCGTGTTGGTTGTGCGCTCGCCGCACGCGAGTGATGCCTCGTCGAATCCTCGCGGCTTCTTGACTGATAATATATCGTCTCACTTTGCTCCGGATTCGCTGTCTTCTGCCCGCCTTTGCCTTCCCTCGAATATCCTCTCCTGTGCCCCTCCCAGGAACCAGCTGTCCATCGGCGTGTTGCTGGATTCGCACGGGCAAGCCGCAAACCACGTGGGCGTCATGTGCGAGGTCAACCAGATGCCACCCGCGGTCTTCCACCGCCTGTTGCACAGGTGAACAGAGATAGCGCAGTTCGTCGAGAAATCGAGAAATAGCTCTTGCACTCGGTCACATTAGCTCCTTCTTGTCTGACGGATATCATTTTCTTCCCAATGGCGATTCGTATTGCTCTCTTTCGTGTTTGTCGGAGCTTGTCTTTCCTCTTTCGTCCCCGCGCTCGCCGAAAGAAGGCTGACCAGGCGCCTCTGAGCGAACATCAAATCCCAGAGCCATCGACCGACCGACATCGCGTAACTATGGCAGTGGCTTCCTGTACGGCTGCGTGTCCCAACGCACTTTCTGACCCGACTGCGCCATGGCCATCGCGGAGGCGATCCGTCACACGCCATTTCGCTCTTGCCCTCCCTTGCATTTCGAAGAGCGTCAGATATGCAGGATCCCCGTGTTGAGCGCTCTCTCGGTCTTTGCCCCGCCCCCCTCCCTCCTCTCTTGCGTTGTCCCTAGGGTACCCCTCCCGGAGAGCCTTCTGCACGACGACTCGGACTCCGACAACGATGGACACGACAACCACCGCGTCTCGCGCGCCGAGGTTGCGGCGGGTTCTGCGGGACACTCGTCGTCGAGCGGCGGCGCCGGCGGCCGTCGCCGCTCTTCCCCGGTCTCGGGGGACGTCCCTGACAAGGGGGCGGGGGCGGCAGCGGCTTCCCCAAGGATTGTAGATCGACTGCACCGAACCCGCGCGGCGGCGGCGATCTGCAACAGCAACAACGGCCCCGCTGCTTCGTCTTGAGATGCGACAAATCAGGGGCGAGGGGGGGAGGGTTTCCTTCTTTTCATCAAGGAGGAGAAGGAGGGGTGGTTTGGCTAAGTAAAATACGTGTAGGCGGCGAGAAAACTTGTTGTCTCGCTTGCGATCCTGCTGCCGTGCGCTTTTTTTCTGGCGTGCACTATGCTCATGGCAGAGTCGCACCCCCTCTTCTTCTGGAACCAGGGTGGGGAGGGACTTTTGTCCTACTGAGTATATTTACTGCACACAAGTCAGTTATTGTTTTGTCGGTGCGTAAGTGTTCCATGCAGGGGTGCAAGGTCTCGGGGGGTGATCACAATCATAGCTAGAACTCTCGGTACGCCGTTGGCGCAGCAATAGGGTCGACTATAGGCCACTGTTGGGGGGGAGTGGTTGAATACATGCATGCGCTTGTTTAGTTTCGCACACAACTTGCTACTGCCGGAGGTTTCAAGGGTTTTTATGTTCTGGGCGTTTTTCGATGCTTGGCGGCCGGGGTATGGCAATCGCCGAACCCTCCTAGACGGTCTGTACATACTCTTTTTGTCAGTAGTGCTGCCTTCAGACATGCATCATGTCCACCGGTGTCCCTTACTTGCCTGCCCGTTTCGACAACTAGTTTGTCGTAGAAATCGAGCTGTAAGGGAGGGAGAGGATTCACAGCAACGGTGGTTGTGATGGTGATGGTGATGGTAAACGAAAGTTCCACAGCGTTTTTTTCGTGTGTGCGTGCGTGTGATGTGTTGGTCTCTTCCGCCTGCTCTGTCGTGGCGGTCGGCTAACGCGACGCTCGAAGAGTCAGTTCTCTGTGGCGCTTTTTTCTTTTTTTTTGTTGTTTTCCTAGGAGGAACCCTAATCACAATCACTTACATGTCGCTGACAGATACCTCAAAGGGGTTGTGTCCTTTGCTCGGGTAGAGGATGGATTGAGTGGGGAGGAACCGCCGTGTTTCACGTCACGACCTACGCCTTGAACATCTTTACTTCCTCGCGCATGTAAATTAGCGAAGGTGCGGAGTAGAGACGCGAGGCGGCGAAAACCTGCGTGGTTCTTCTTGCGTCGTCGGGTGTATTCTTGGGCAGAAGAAGTGAGTAGGATTCGACGCAAGCGCTCGAGGTGGCGTCACAGGCGCCCGAATACCCTCCTCGAGTCATGCTTAATTAATTTACATCTAAGACCTTTCTCCCGCGGGGCGGGATGCTGGTGGGTTCGGTGGCGTGAGCCGGATCCATACGATACAAGCGGATATGTTTTGTGTAATTGTTTACATACGGGTTTGACGGTAAGCCGTATGAGGTCTCACTGTTCGTACTATGAAGGGTGTGTGTGTTAGTACGAGTAACGTGTCATGCGGGGGGTGCCAGTAGTGCAAGTAAAGTGTATGCCAACGGTGCCGCTCGGCTTTGATTCGAATCAAGATAATCGTTGAATTGATTCGTTGCGGGATGTTGTTGTGTCTACATTTGTTCTGTAGGCTAAGCCGGAAGCGGGGGAGAACTGCTGTGGAATGAAATCTCTTCCTTTGCTTCATGACTAACAGAGAGGACCCACCCGCCTCACTCGCGTACAGAGAGAGTCGTGGTGGATTGTTGCGCCTGAAGTCGGTGACAGTGAGCAGGGAGGGGGCGGGGCGAGAACAAGTTGTACTACTGGCGACCGGCCACACACACCAAATGGTAGTAAGGCAGTTTCGATATTAAGCTAAATGAAATTTGTTTCTTTTCATCATGTGGCCGGTTGCTGGGGAGTCAAAATTACAAGCAAGGTCAATTATTACAAGCAAGGGGGAAGGTGACCGTATGCCCATGCACATTTCGCCACAGCTATTAGGTACCCCAAGGCCAGGAGGGGAGGGGGGCGGGGGGGGGTGCTCTATTCTTGGAGTGAAAAATGAAAATCGAACTGATTTCACTGACTTTTTACTGGCACAAATCCTTGCAAGGGGTGGTTTGTTTATTTTGTTCTCTATCTCGTGTTTGTTAGTTTCTGGTGACGATGCACATATCGATAGATAGCCGTCCAATCAAAACGAACGCAAAGTTTGGACCCTGTTTGTTGTGATGCTGACAGGCGTAAAAAAAGTGTGTCCGCTTTATTCCCTCTCGTTCTGCTCACCGCGGGACTTGTATCTATCTTGTGTGTTTGCACCTACTTCGCTGTTTTTGGTTGCTTGTTTGTGACTTTGTATGTATGTAACCCATCCACTCATCATTATCTGCTCGCGTGACAATACATACTTGCACTAATATAGCGTGGCACGAAAAGATTACCGTACTGTTATTATTGTCATCACACCTAAACCACAGATCAATGACCTTTTAGAATCACCTCTCTCTATTTATAATTGTTTTAGCCAAACACCAAAACTTCTGGGCCAGAAGTTGTAGGGCGTGTTTCATTGGTCAGCCCGTTAGCGCGGTGGATGCTAACAATGAAGATAATCATATATGAGGCAAGGAAAATTGAACCTCCTGCTCCTCAACTCCATCCAAACATTTCGTACCAGCCCTACATATATATCTGTGCTGCGGTCGCTCGGGGAATACAGAACGCGCCCGCACTTACGGGCGCATTCTGTATCATCATAGGAAAGATAACCCGTACACCCTAAGAAGCCGGATTTTTGCCCATCCTGAATATAAGTGAAGCTTTTTGGGAAAGAAAGGAATCCAGGAATGAATCCACAGGTGCATTTTTTTTTTTTTTTCTTAATATGACACAACGAATCCATCTCTATCATAGAAAAGAGTCTGAGACAGATTAGCAATGAATTCATAGCGTCAGAAAGTACCTGTATGTCTACGGTTTCCGTTTTGTTCGACTGTGGGTATATATATCTCGAATGGGTGGTCTTTCTGTGTGTATATTTATTATTCCTTAAAATTTTTTGGCTTAACGAACGTGGGGGGGTGCGTCATGTGATACTGTATCAGCGGACTCCCCCCTTCCCAACCGCGGGGTCCTGCGTGTGTGTCCTCTGTGCCGGGCAGCAGCAGCAGGGTGACAGACGAGCGATCACCGACAGAGCTCTCTGCACTTCCCCAGGGCCCAGCCTACACCATGAGGTAGGCAGTCAAGGATGGTAACGATTTTCTCGAGAGAGAGAGAGAGAGAGAGCCTAGTGGCCACAATCAGGTGGGAAACTTGTGTGTGAAGCAGCGAGCGGTAGGCGAACAAGCTCTCACATTACATTCGGTTCTAGGAGGGAACAACGGCGGCGGGCCACAGGGGCGCTCGTTGTTCCACACAGGCCGACAACGGTGGGGAGCAGTACTTGCGCTGCTGCCATTTTCTCTCGGCGAATCATTCGACTGTCTCGGTTGGACGGGAAAATGGATCCAGAAACAGTGCACGTAGTCTCACCGTCACACACACACATCGGTTCCGCGTCGTGGTTAGCAGTAGCAGTACAGCAGCAGTATTTTGTCGTTTTCGAATCTACACAACAGCAGCAGCAGCCGTGCTGTAGCGACAACAGACGAGTTGGCGGCCAGTGTGTGGCCAGTGCCCAAGCGTGCGTCCTTGAAGCTACCCCACCGCTGCTCGCTCTACATTAGCCTTTTGCCCTCACCCAGAAATGTTTGTAATAATACCCGTCAATGACCCGAAACGCCACCTTGCACATATTCTCCGGTGGACAGCGCCGCTTGACAATACAGAAGGCAAGTAGACAACACAGCAGTTGGGGACCATTATTAGAGTGCGGATGTTACCATGATAGCAAAGATCGGAACGGTTTTTAATGTGAAGTGAACAACAACGTCTTGCCCCGAATCGATTTTTTTCCCGACAGGTTCCTCCATCTGATGAGACCAATAATGTGTGTGCTGCCGGAGGTCTCCGCGCCTGACCGGAAGGTGAACGCCGGGTATTACAAAGACCGTCCTTTGGTGATAGTGCTGTACCGCTTGTCTTCGGAGCACACCGCCTGGCGTTTGCATGGAAAGTTGCCGCCCGCGGAACTGCGAACACGTCTGGCAAAGAGGCCGTCGTCCGCGGCGTCGTATTTCCTAGCTCGACCGTGGCTGCCTTGGGTGTTGAGCTTCTTGTGTTGTTGATCCGGTTAAAGGCAGCTATGATACCCGTTCCTGCACTGTTGCTTGTTGCTAAGTAGCTAGGTCAGGCAGCATCTGTCTGAGTTGGGTATGGGGCTGTACCTTTTGCTGCAGCCAATACTCATCCTCGGTAACCTTGATATCTTGATATATATCGATATTTCTGTTAGGGTGGACAGCATAGATCCGTCGATTTTCTTGGCGCATTCCGCTGGCTTCGCAAGCACCGCTGTATCACAACTGAAGATGTTTGTTAACGCCACGTCCTATATCGGAAAGATTGGACGGGTAGATACGTGTGGCAGCACGTGTAGAATCCCGGCTGTTCGAGCTCAATCCAGCCTCTCTGCCGTTAGCACTACACGGGGTTTTGTCGTTGCTCCCGGATTTCGTTATGCCCGAGTGTTTTTTGTCACGCTGTGAACAGCCTCCCCCGGGCTCCGCACGTCTGGCGACACGTCGGACACCCGTCCGTAAGCCACACAGAGCAACACGTCTTTTGCAACAATCACAAAAGCAAAACGATCGTACGTTTACAGCAGTAGCTTTTAAACTCTTTGGCCCCCCTGCCCGCCCATCCTTCCTTGCCCACGAATCCGATCGACGTCTAGGTTAACTTTAAGGAAAGGATGGGCTGGACGCTCGGCATGATGATCCTCTTCGTGTGGGCGAGCAACACGCGTTTGTACGGCGTCCCCTCCGGCTTGGCGTCTTCGATGCCATCGGACATCATGCGCATCGTGTTGGCTTCAGGCCACGGCACCGTCATGGACTTGGGTAAGCGAGAGAGGAGGGATGCGAGCGGTGGGGAGTAAAGGATTGGGGGGGGGGGGGGCATCGAGTTCGCTCGGCCGTGGTTTGCCGCAGACGTAGACCTTCACACAAAGCTCGCGCCAAAAGCGATTCAAAGCCTTCCGTTAACCTTGCTGTTTCGGGGGGTCATGGTCGACTATCGGGATGGCGTGGGCGGCCGGTCGTGGGTTACCATCGCCCACGGTGTCAGGTAGTCACCGCCCAGACATGCTTCAGGTTCCGTAACAGGTAGCCGAGATGAACTCCTTGCGTCCTTCCCCAAGTTTTCGGGACACCGCTACATAGGTGTTGGAGGAGTGCCCAAAGGTATAATATTACGCTTGGCCTTGACAGCGTTGTGGCAAGTAGTGCTGGGCGGCGGATAAGGTGCACTCCCGTCTTGGTTCGCCCATCCCGTTATTCGTCCTCCCATCGCGAAGGCAACAGGCATTCTGCGTGGTAAGGATTTTGCAGGTTTTCACCCGCTGCTCGTGTTGTAGCCAGACAGCATTTCGCGGCCAGCCCCCTGTAAACCGCCCTACATATCAAACGGAACAACAGCAGGATCATGAACTATCGAGCAGCCAGTCTGCCGCCGCCCCTGCACCAACACCATTTGGGTCTCGTCTTCGGTTTTTTGTATTCTGGCAAACTGAATGGCGCTTCTTTTTTGTGTACATATTTCGTGCCCGTCCCACCAAATAATCCTACGTTGCTTGTAGGCATCACTCCCATCATCACGTCCTCGATGGCGATGCAGCTCTTGGCGGGAGCGCACATAATCGACGTGAACCAGAGCATGAAGGAGGACAGAGCTCTCTTTGGCGGGGCACAGAAGGTGAGGACGAGGGGGGGGGGGGGGGGGGAGGTGGGGAGCGGTCTCGAGCGGTCATAGCAGCAGCTCTGTTTCTGCAACGGACGGTGATCTCTGTCCCAACGAAAAGCTGCGAACTGTCGGGGAGGGGAGAACCAACCGATCGGAGCATAAAGAGTATCCGGTTCTCTTTGATGATGATGGTCGTGTGTTCCTGTGGCAGCCGGAGCACACTGTAAGGTATTGGCAGAGCACGGACGACTAATTAACAGCAGGCCTTTCCATGCCGTCGATTATCTTAGGAGTGGGGCGGGGGGTTCTTGCTTCTCCTTCCTTGATAGATGACATTGGCCGCAACAGGCGAGAAAGGAAGACGTTCTCAACACAACTCGCACGACTTTTGCACGTTTCTGGATCGTAAGTAAGGCGGGAAATACTGCGAAGCTACCGCCCTCCCTGCGGGAAATTTGTCGGGGGGGGGTTGTGCTTCCATGTTTTTTTTCAATGCTTGTAAGGACAACGAGCTTATTTTTTTTCCGCGTGCTGCAGCATGTGCGAATGGCCGAAAGACCAACACGAGTAACGAATTAGCAGCTCCCCCCCCCCCCCCCCCCCTTCCCCGTTCCCCCCCCCGCCCCCCTAATTT